CAGCCTTAATAGGCCGATAAAGAATGTACGAAGGTGTAGGGTATAGTTGATTTTCCCCAACCATCCATCCATTGGAGCGTAAGTGTGTGGAAGTAACCTTCACCTCATATAGAAGATTCCAACTAAACTGCACTATTCTTAAATATTGTGTTTCTGCATTGAGTAAAGTTTCTAATACTTCACAGGGTAAGAGATTGGTTCAGGGTAGACAACGGGCGAGTGATACTATGGTGTCGCAAGTTTCTACTATAGGATTGGTGACCGCTTACAAGAATGCGAGCCTATGTTTGTTGTACAGCAGTTTAGTTCAGACACTAAGTTGCTGCCTGGATAGTCCCCTCTCCGTGGATAAAAGAACCATCCAGAAGGCCGGGACCCACGGCCCAAAGTAGGTACCTCCAAGGCACGCGGCCCACAAGAAATTTAATTCCTTTCTCAACTATACATTGCGAAAGATATTTAAAGAGAGGTAGGTCATAGCAGATTTGCCGCTCGAACTGGAGCGCCCGTCCGGGGAAGTAATCTCCACTCCAGTGGTGCTGTGTTTCTGTCGGCGAATAACGTTCCAGGGTGGAACCCCGGGGAGGATTGGGTCAGGGTAGGAGGAGGCAATAGTGCAAGTGATATTATTTCTGTCGCAAGTGGCCCGCCCTCGCTTTGCTTCGGTGTAGAACAATAGTATAGACTACAGTTTTTGTTCAAAGGCTTGTATTATATACAATGACTTTCGTCAGAATAATTATAAACCTTCCATTCCAAGTAAAGAATTCGTTGCGTAGTTTAGGACCCGTTGTACCGAATGCAAAATTGTTCTGCTCTTCCGATTTGAAATATTATTTTTGTATTGGACAGTGCATTTATCGAGAAAAGCTATAGGCTATATATTACCAGGCTACGACCAGTAGCACCGGAACATCGATGAAAAATGTTGCAAAAACGGGTAAAAATATTTCATTTGTGAGATTACCTTGCGTGCGCTGGGTAAAGTTACACAAAAATCAAGTCAGACGGAATTCTTCCCCTTTAAAAGTTCTGTAAAAAAGTCCACGACAGCCTATGTACATATTTTAAGTTTGACTCACTATAAACCTTTTTCTTCAAATTAACGCGGGTGAAACCGCAGGGGACCTCTAGTTGTGACATAACTGTAATGTCTAAACATATGGTATCGCGAACTTTTTTTGTAGATATTGGTATCCTCTACAAAACTTTAGTACATCACTTTGCTCTATTATCAATGACTTCTGGGTACGCGATATAAGGTTATTTTTTGGTATATTTTACACTCGTTTGGTTACATTATCGAAGTTTTCACACGAAATCCTAACATTTTGAAAATATACTATAGCATAGAATTTTTAAAATCGGTCCAGTAGTTTTTGAGCCAATTCGTTACAAACATACTTACATACAAATTTTTCCTGTTTATAATATTAAGTATAGATATGGTAGCTGCGTACCATCACGTGGGCCATACGCTTGTTAGCCACTCATATAATATAATAATACTTCCACAATCGTAATCCAAACGCGCTAATCACTCCATCATCTAGATCAGCTATACTCTAAGTGTGTTCCGCGGAACCCTAGGGTTCCGTGATACCTCTGTCGGGGTTCCGCAAGAATTTAGAAATAAAAAAATCAAAACACCTCTCTCTGGTCGCTCCGCGGCTGTGCGGACTCCGCGGCCGCGCGGAGACAAAACGCTATGAATGTTATTTATTTATTTATTTGTATTTGTATAAGCTTGTGTTACATTAGCTGGTACAATATCTCATAAGTTTGGTCTCAACAATTTTATACTTGTACAACGCGTTCGCTCTAAGTTTGCCGGTCTGTGGAATGCGCGTACCCTCCCCCACGTGACAACAAAACTTATAATGTGTCATAGTTTTACCCAAATATCTAACGTACACAATTTTTATTGTTACAATTAAATAAAAAATTTCGAACGTCATACACTCATACCTATCGCCAGCGGCAAACTTAAAACGAGCGGGTAGTATACTTGTAAGCGCTCAGTCTCTTTGATAAAAGCCGCCTCTGAATTAGACGCTATAGTTGTCAACTAGCGACTTTCGTCTCTAACTTCAAAGGATAAAGTCGATATTGTTTACAACGCTATTTTTAAATTTCTGTTTTTATTTTTGCTTTTTGTTTATCAAAGGTGCCGACTCGAGTATTTTCGAGAATATTTGAGATCGAGTCTAGGACTAAGTATAAAAGCGGCGATCGCGCGTTGGCGTCGTCAGTTGATGATTAGCGTTCGGAGCGATAAGTTACTACCTACTTACAAGCTCGCTAGCGAGAAACTGGTGTTCATTGTTTTACTGCCTGCTGTATTCTGTTGTCTCAGTTTTATACATTTCTTCCCTGTAGGTTCTAAATTTAGTCTCTTATACGCAGTAACGATTGTGCATTATTTAAACCCCACTATCCTGACTTGTAACATTATAAATAAAGAAGAATGGAACGTTGGCTTAAAGGTGTTAAACGTGTTCCAACAACATCTTCTAATGACGCTGAATGTTCAAAAGCAATGCGCGCGGAGAATTTAGCAATCACCGATCCAGAAGATGATGCCACGAGTGCCACGACGTCAAGCTCGACGGTTTCAAAGACGAAAAAAAGGAAGTATGATGAATCTTATATCAGTTTCGGATTTGTTGATTCCAACGGCTCACCTCTCTGCATGCTCTGTAGTAAACTGCTTCCTAATAGTTCCATGGCACCTGCCAAATTGCGTCGACATTTAGAAACCGTACACCCCGAGACTAAAGACAAGAATAAAGAATTTTTTGTTCGCAAAAAAGATCAGTTATTAGAAAGTCAAAAAAATATGATGCATGTAACACAAACTACCAACGAAAAGGCCACGGAGGCATCATACTTAGTTAGCTATCGCATTGCACAAGCAGGTGAAGCGCACACTATCGCTGAGAAATTAATAAAACCATGTGTATTAGACATAACAAAATGTATGCTTGATGAAAAATCTGCAAAGCATCTTTCTACTGTTCCGCTATCAAACGATACTGTTTCACGACGAATCCATGATCTGGCAAGCTACGTCAAACAAGAACTAGTTACACGTCTACAAAATACACGATTCGCTTTGCAAATGGACGAGTCGACTGATGTCGCTGGTTTGGCTATCCTGCTGGTTATTGTGAGATATCCATATAAAAGTTCTTTTGAAGAAGACATGCTTATGTGTTCATCGCTGCTTACAAACACTACCGGGGAAGAAATTTTTAATAAAATAAATATATTTTTTGAAGAACATAATCTCAGTTGGAACAATTGCATTGACATTTGTACAGATGGGGCCAAGGCGATGACAGGTAAAACAGCAGGAGCAGTGTCACGAATGAAAAATAAAGCGCCTAATTGTAGTTCCAGTCATTGTATTCTGCATAGACAAGCACTTGCGATGAAGCAAATGCCGTCTAATCTAAAATTAGTTATGGATGAAGCGGTAAAAATAATTAATTTTATCAAATCACGACCACTACAATCCCGATTGTTCTCATTATTGTGTGAAGATTATGGCAGCAAACATAAAACACTGCTGCTCCATACAGAAGTGCGATGGCTGTCTCGGGGAAAAACTTTAACAAGGCTATTTGAACTTAGAGCCGAGTTACAAATGTTTCTTTCAGCAGATACTTCTTTTAATTTGAAGGACCGTTTGTATGATAAAACTTGGTTGTTCCGATTGTCTTTTATGGCGGATATCTTTCAAAAACTTAACGAATTAAATTTATCATTGCAAGGTAAACAGACAACAGTGTTTCAGGCCTATAATAAAATAACTACTTTTAAAAGAAAATTAGATTTTTGGATCATTTGCATTGGTAAGAAAGAAATAGAAAGTTTTACGTTACTCACTGAGTTTGTTAGCGAAAACGACTCAGAAATGTTTGAAGATAATGTGTTTGAAGAATTGGTCCAATATCTCAGTTCGATGCGCGCATCTTTTGAAAAGTATTTTCCCGAAGAACACAATACAAAAATTAAAGTGAACTCCTGGATTCATAATCCTTTTTTACCCAACTTGGAAAAGCCTGAAAACATGTCAAATGAGATATATGAATCTCTTTTAGAAATGTCATCAGACACAAGTATGGAGTCATTGTTCAAAACGACGCCTCTTAATGATTTTTGGTGCAGAATCCAAGATGAATATGCAATGCTTGGCCAAATGGCTCTGGATATTCTTCTCCCGTTCCCAACTACATATTTGTGCGAAACAGGATTCTCTACCTACGCAGCCACGAAAACAAAATATCGCAATAGACTGGACGCCGAAGCTGATATGAGACTCCAACTTTCTTCCATCAAACCTGATATCAAGCAATTGATGAAAAATAAAAAACAGTTTCATACCTCCCACTAGTTAGATTTTTTCTTTTTTAATGTTTTCTATTATTGTCCTTACCAAGTGGTGAAGTAAATAATAATTAGTAACGGATACATTGTACTTTTATTATGCTGATTAATATAGAATACACTTATAAAAATAATTGTTTTATTGTAGGGTTCCATCAAGTATTTTGCTTCCCAAAAGGGTTCCGTCATTTAAAAAGTTTGAGAACCACTGATCTAGATCTTCAATAACAACGCGCAAGTAAAATTATGGTGGCCGCTTAACATCACGTGGATGATCCATAAAAAAAGGATTGTTAGGTAGGTAGTTATTTTTCCTTACTGCTTGTATAGGACAAATCATAAAATTTCTAAGGCCCAATCAAAATCACATATCATCGTTGTAGTCTGTGAGATATTTGTATTATGACGAGTTAGTATTAATGTATCCATGATAATTCACAATAACAATTATGTCTATAAGCTTTTACCCATGGCGGGATTCGAACCCGCTACTGTAGTCTTACTGCCGATTTTACGGAGCAGCTGATAAGTCATTCGTCACTGGACTTTTTGCTTTTGTGTGATTTTTCAAACGAAATTTGGTTACACTTTGTTGAATAACAGTAAAACAATTCAGTAAATTTTTGGATTTATTTATTGAGAATCCATGTTTGTAAACAGATTTGTAGACTTACAAATAGGGTTCGTTTAAAAAAATATAAATATTGCTACACAAAGTTACTGCAGTAGGTGTATGGCTAACACAATATAAAGAAAATCGAAATGTACAGCTTATGTGGAGATAATCACCATTTTAAAAACAACACTATTGTTACCAAATAATGCAAAATAGATATTTCTACCTGAGCGTATATATAACATAATTTGATTATAAATAAATTATTTTATTTTAATAATAACATTTAATTCGAATAAAGTAATAATTAATTATTCAATATACAATAATTTTCAAAAGGAATACTGCCTATCTACAATATACAAGTAACAAACATTTATCTATTTACATTTAATAGTTCGGACTAGTTCACGATTTTAGTCGAAATGGTGTCGAATGGGATTATAATACATAATGTACACAAAATTAACACCGTGGACAGTGGAAAATTTTCACTTGAATATTTTTCTTGAGACTGAGACGAATGAGGAAATGCGATGGAAGAATAAGTTTACAACAGTAATAAACTAAACTTTCTCGATACGAGTATATTGAGTAATAGAGCTGTTTCTTAAAATATGATCCCTCGTGAAGTATTTCCTTAACAAAAATTATATTTATTTATTTAAAATTCATGGCGTTGTTTATTGATAAAGAAATTACTTTAGGAATTATAAGAATTAAAGAGATTTCATTTCTGAAAATAAGTAATATTTCTTAGGCCAGAATAATTAATAATAATTACTGCATGAAACATTGTCGCGAATTTTTTCAGAGACGCTTCACAATAAGTAGATTATTCTAAGCATATCGTTGGCTTCATTAGTGATAATCGCTAATATACTTTTTTATTTTACCTTTATTAGTAGTTACAGATGAAACATTACGTAGATTAGAAGTAATTTATGGTATCAAGTGACCGTAATAGCAGATAGAAACGGTAAATAACTTCTATCAATTGCAGATATTGTTTATTCAATTAAATAATGTCACATTTACTAGTCAGCTCAGTCTTAAGATCGATAAATAATATGGGCATTAAGATATTGAATGGCAAGTTTCTAATGACTGGGAAGATCTGAGCGAAATTTAAAATTTCACACGCAAATGCCTAAAACTATACTGTACATGCGGGATACCGCATAAAGCTCTCTTAAAAAGTTACAAAAGTTCTCAACATATAATAATTAACCTATCAATTAAGTTATTTACAATTATTGCTATCGAATGTTGCGCTTTGAACGCCCCAGTTACTTTTGTCAACTGGTTTATTGCCTTCAGTACAAAGTAAATATGTACTTTGTATTAGCAAAATTAATTAGGTATATTCTGTCGAAAACACAACTGAGGTGATGACGGATTGTTCTAATTATACAGAACTAGAAACGCCTTCTATCAACCATCTTTGTTGTGTTTTCGACAGCATATAAAATATGAAAGCAATTAAAGCTATCGGGGCCTTCACTGATATGCTGTTATATTTATTAACGGAATGATGACAGCAATTTCAGAGTATTAACTCTGAAACCGTAACGAATATATAACTTATAACAATTCATCACAAATTTGACTCTATTCCAACCAACTTAAAAAAAGCTTTGTGACTTCCTTTGTTAGTATTTTGTATAATAAATTGCATTACAAGGCAATTTGTCGAAATGAGAAAAAATCCTAGTACATAGTAAGGTATGTAGATAACATTTGTCAGTTTTTAATGAAAATCTATTGTGACAAAAATATAAATATCACAAATTCATTAAAAGTAGACACTTAAAATTTATTGCAATACTATGTTACAGAATTTATTTATTTATTCAGAAAATGTTTTAATGATTTACGTGGCAGTTCTTATCACAAATATTATAATGCATAATGCCGCCCGTACACAAACACAAAAAATAATGATGTTCGACAAAATATGATAGTTCAGTCTTTATTTCTAAAGAACATTTCATTAAATATTATTTAACTCATTTCACATTTTCTATTAATAAGTTGAATAGTCAAAATTCATGCGTATTTGGCATCCCCGCTTGCGTATTGTCCAGTTCGCATTCGGACGGCGAGTGGTTGACATCTGCGGGGGGAGCGGGCGGCTGTGCTGCCTGCGCACGCGCCCGCGCCAGCGCCTAGGCGAGCGCGGGCGCGGCAGGCCGCGCTCAGGGGCGGTGGGGGTGAGCCGAACTCAGCGATGAACTACTCACACCAGAGTCACTACTCTTCTCCGACGCGCAAGGCTCACCCCCAGCTACGAATTTAACCACATTCAACCTATGATCAGACTCGCAAGTATCATCTCTCGCACCACCCGGCAAGCCACCAGTGCGAGCGACCGTTCTCTCTCCTATTGTGCCAGGATAACGTTCGATTCTATCGCATTCTACGTCATCAGGCTGTCGTCGACGGACAGACCTTTTTGCTTGGGGCGCCGGTTCTGGTGGCCTATGAGTGGGTTCGTCAGCTCTATGAACTAACGGTGAAGTCCGTACGCGGACTCCACCTACACCGACACTAGCTTCGTAGCACCCCGAATCTCTCGGGAATTGACGCCGACCAAACGGGGACTCACCACCTTCGGAGCTTGATTCACCTCCTTCACCTTCGCCGTCAGCTTCTCCACCTATAAAATATCGACATTTAAAACTGCAAAGTTTGGCAATAAGAAGTAGGCTAAATATTTGGAAAACTAACATTTTATAAACTCACATTCGAGCTTATGTAAGAGTTGTACGGCGGCCAGGATGCGCGTCCGATGATCGGGCGTCATTATTCCCAAGTAGTCTAAGTCTGATGGCTCAATTTCCTTAAAAAGTTCTATATCCTCGTATCCATTTCTAGAGAATGCGACCGTATATTCTGGTAAGTCTATCCTCCTCAGTAATTCTTCAACTGTTCTTGGTCTGGTTTCCCATAGTCTTTCGCGACTTTTACACCATTTAGATGATCGCGATCGCACTGTTTCTCTATCAGACAAGACTTCAACATTAGCAAACTTAAAGTTTCCTACTTTGTTATTGAGTACACCTCGCCAGATTCCAGACGCGTTCATATTTACAACTTCTATGATGTCTCCCTTCTGTTGAAAAATTAGACCTCATTATAATGTTGCTTGAATTTATAATTACTTATAATAAGCATGTTTATGAATCAAAAGGTTTTTACCTTGTATCTTAGGGCATCCTTCTCATAAATATTGGGTATGTAATCGACGAGTGCTCGAGCTCGGCACAGCATTTGAGGCACGAGTAAACTTCGCCCGGCTGGACTTAATTCTATGTTTTCTTCTGCCGAGAGAGATGAGTGATTACTACCAGCGCGAACCAGTGCTTGTGTGCCTGTACATAAACATTTGTAGACTTTAAAAATATCAATATATTGCCTACCTAAAGTTCATCACATTAGAATTAGAAATACCTTGATACATCTTAGCATGACTGTGAATAGGTTTAGGTAAGATTTTGTTAATCTAGAATATTTAAGGATAAAAATTTTATGATTAGTAGGAACAGAAACTGATGTTTTGTAAAATTGTGTCATCTGTAAGTAATATAGGGGGCGTTATGGTACACAGAAAGGAAAGACAAAACATATTTACAAACAACATTTATATTAACACAGACAAAAGCTTAATAAATCCACTCACTACTGCCTGATCCGCTGGGAAGACTTTCGAAAGAACTATTAGAACACGGAAATGCTTGGTCGCCACTTGTCCGCCTATCAGTGCCTTCAGGACCCCTTTCTTGCCTTAATCTTGATATTTTTCTTTGAACATCTTGCCTAAGACCGCGTACTTTTCCAGCTAAGTTTGACACACCTTCACATTCTTCTGCCGACTGAAACGACAAACAAATAGATTTACGTATTAAGGAAGGGTTTGCAGAAAATAAAAGCAAAGAAAGTGATTGGAAATAGTGAATTTATTTTGAATCGTCAGCCAATAGATATAACTACAAAAAAAAACCTATCAAGTAATGCAATTGAAAATAACTGTTACCTGATGTACTGTTGCTATGTGTTGCGAATCGGTTTCACTTTCTTGATCCTCATAATCTGAAGAGGCGGGTGATAGTGGATCGGCACCTATCCGATATCCCGACATTTGCCTGTAACCCCTTCGTGAATCTCGTTCCGATCGACTCGATTCTAGCGAAATTCCCGACAGCCGAGAGCCTATAGATTGAATGTCAGATGCAGCATAATCCCCGCTTTCTCGATCTCTCGCAGTTCGTAAGGGGATAACAGTGGTTGGATAGGGACCGCTCTGTGGAATTATTAATCCTCTTCGAGGGGCTCTCGCTAAACTAATGTCGCCTGCACTTCTGAGCGATATAACACCTTCACCTCTTGGTTCGTTACGTAGATTAAGAGTAAAACAAACTCTTCCATTCTGAAACTGCGCCGCTGGTGCTCCACCGCCCATTAAAAAGTCTTCAGGGTCACTCTCGTAAGGAGGTTCGTCATACCAATGCCCTCTGCCAGTCAAGCCTCTTGCTTCATCATCATACATATATGTGTCGTCTGTAAACGAGTTCTTCATTAGACTTCTGCATTGCATAAGTTTCCAATAGCGCAAATAAAAATACGTGCCAAAAAAATGCAAACACAGTTTACCGTAAAATACCCTTCCACATAGTGGCGAATTCACTGACAACACTGCAGTTTAAGCTGTGTACGAACATTGTAAAGCCGTGCGTGGTTTATGCAAAATATTTGTTTTTAAATAACATGCATTTAGCATTTCACCGCAACTTAATCGGATGAAGATGAATATTTGTAAAACGGTCAATGATAATAACTGATAAAAGTACACACGGCATATTTTTGTTTGTTGTCTGTAGTTTGTGTTACTTTCAATACATTGATTTGATGGTGATGATTAAAAATGCACATCAAAAGCTTATCCAAAAATAGACACCGAACGCGAAATAAAACAACTAAAACACAAAGCATTCCGCGATATTTAGAATTAACTTAACATGTATAACATCGTGCAGGTAACATGCGGTAAATTTTGTAGTAACTTGGGCGTATATATTCTTGATATTTTGACTCCAGTGCTTTAACGAAATCACAAAATGAACAAAGTGTTAAATGTGTAATATTTAATGTAGGTATATTCAAAGTGTGAGTAAAGTGTACATTATTTTTTCGTTCAGCATAATAAAATTGTGGTATGATTACTTATATTGTGTTACTGGATAAAGTAAAGCGAATACCTCAATAATCTACTTGAGATTAATTCAGTTAAATAAAAGTATTTTATTACACTCAATATTGGACAAACATTAACTTTTGACTGAATGTCAATTAATAACAGCTATAATATAGTTTTATAATCAAAATATCAAGAAGCGATAATATTTGTATATATGTGAGAAAAAAATGTTGAAAAAAGCAGTCGTAGCTTATGAAGTCGAGTTTAATAAAATAAAATAAAGTAAACCGTATAGATGATAAAGATACGAACCTCCAAAAGGACCTCTAACACCATCTCTTCCCATATTCATAAGACCGTGTCTAATGTCTCTTAAAATCTAAAACAAAATAAAGGGTAACATTAGTACCTGACAGTAATTATTAATTAGAGCTCTATGAGATAGGTCACAAAGTCGGGTCGGTGAGGTAAGGGTGGTTAAGCTGAGTTTTCACATCTGAAATTCATTTATTTACAGCTACTTAGAGTGTCATTTGCTAAACACTTTGCATAAAAAATGTATGAACTGAAATAACTTTTAGGGTCACTTCCGCCAACACATTTGAATCATAATAAAGACTTGCTTCTTTGTCAATTGGTAAATTAAAACAGAGAATGATTAATGCTTTTAATTTGATTTCAGTTCTTTGGTACAAATAGGCCATAATTTTGGATGGCATTGGAGGAGCTCGATGGCGCAAGTGGCTTGCATTAGCGTAAGTGGGTAGCGTTGAAGTTAAGCAATATTCGCAATGGTCGGTCATTGGATGGGTGACCAAAAATCTTCTATCTCGAGTTCCTCCGTGCTTCGCAAGGCACGTTAAGCCGTTGGTACCAGCTGCATCTGCAGTCGGTAGCACCCGCCAATCCGCACTGGCCCCGCGTGGTGGGTCATGGCCCAATCTTCCTACTCCATCCAAATGGAAGGCCTGTGCCTAAACATTTTAGATACACTCTTAATTATGTATAAAGCATTTTGCTTTTATTATTTAAAAAAACTGTGTACGTAACGAGCGTAATGTAACCTGCAATACTTTACCCTAAAATGGTGAAGTTCGGAACAAATGATAATACAGTACTACCTGTAGGTATGTACTTAAACTATAAATATTTGTTTAGGAGCTTACAAGTAAACCCTGTAGAAGAATGATGTACGAATGTTGTAACTTTCAAAAATATTAGTGGGAAATATTTTAAAGTAATGCGTGAACACGGCAGTAAATATTCAACTGGGGTAATAAAACGACCACTTTCTGGTAAGTAGAAAAGTATCGAACATTAAGTTAATTTATGCACACTTTGTTACGGAGCCGGCGGGCGTCGACTACACGAAAGGATTTGCGTGTCGTTATGTTCAAGTAAATAAGGTTTTATGTTGGCATAGACTTTAACGTGGGCCGTCAGGAAACAACACCTGCAATGTTTATAACAATGGCACTTGCGATATTATAGTTCTTGAGACTGAAATTAGCGGAGGACAGCGGAGGTATGATTGACTTTTACGCCTGCATGTATAAAACAAACTGAGTACTTAATTACTTAAATTTAAAAATAGGCTTGTTGAAATTTCATTCCTTTGGAAAGTTTCCATAACGTAAATAGAAATTATAATATTTAATATTTGTAAATATGGAAAACGAAAATTATCGATAATATATATTTTCTTTGCTTTAATATCTAATAGTTTTAAAGTTTGCCCTACTGAGACACCTTTGAGATATTTTGATATGAATAAACTAAAATGCCAATTCATTAATGCCTTCTTTATATATTTAAGGTTTAAAAATTACATTTATAAGCTTTCAGTTTAATGAATAAATATTATTTTATATACGTAATTGAAGTATTTACAGTTAAAGATTCTAGAAGGACTTAACCTAAAATAATTAATGTTTGTTTCTACAAACTACCGCTATCTTTTTTGAGGTATCACTTACAGTATTTACATCTTTTTAGTACTTATTTATTTTATTATTGTTGGTGGATCTTATTTTCTCACATAAATTCTATTTGAAGTTAATTACTTATTCATTAATGATTTTAATATGAAAAATAATGCTCTTCAGTACTGTTTGTGACTTACACTATCTGTGAACCTGCATATTAAATAAATAGTAATAAAAATATTGCGCGTGTGTCGTTAAACACTCGGTTGGAACGAAGCTAAAAATATTTAAATACCACCTACCAAATTACACTGAGCGTAAAAAGTCCGAAAAAACATTCTACCCATCATTGCTAAGACAAAGAAATAAAATCATGAGGCGTGTCAGATTCTTATCAACAGTCAACAATTTGTTTGATTTATAAATGCTCTTTAGCTGTTTATTCAAGTTAATCTACAATGCTTCTAATTTATCAATATGTATAAGGTTTGAATGTAAGTCCATATCTATCAAGTCCGTATCTATAAATTGAATCAACTAAAGCAAAATACAAAGTCAGAGTTGTAATTTAAACTTTAAAACTCAAGTGTAACCTTTATATTACCTAACTACGAGTACGAACTAAAAGCTCGGACGCATTACTGATTGCTGCCAAGCGTCTGGATGCATCGCAAACTGATTTCGAACATCCTTTGGTTTGTGAAGAAAAACCGACACCGACGCCGATCAATATCGAACACATACAGCAAACGGCACTAACAGGCAAACATCCATCCACAAGCTTGTGTTGGTTGTTTGTGTCCACTGTTTGTCGTCTGTTTGCCGTCTGTTTTCCAAGCATGTGGAGCACAGACGTTTAGAACTAGTATGTTGTTCTTTCTTGGCGAGACCTGAGACCGAGACCTCGACGACAATGTGGAAGTGGGCTTGACGGTCCATCACTCACCGCTCCCTGTCCAACGCTTCCAACCAAGTCAACAGCCACCATCGTCAGTGGTCGCCCACCCCCACCAGCTAGGTGGGGGCCTAGCCAGCTGCCATGCTAAGTTGTGACGAAAAAAATGTAACTACTCGCCTAGCCGCGAATACCGTCGGAAAAGGAACTTCGGTCCAACAAAAGTAACACGCGTTAATAAACAAAAGTTAATGAACCTAAAATAGATGTACGCACTCCGAATATCCATATAAACCGCTCTAGATTTAACCGGTATGTAAAACGTACCCATGTCACAGTGTCGGTAACTACAATCAGATCGTGCGATGTCACCAATAGTTTATCGGTAGTAAAATTTCCGTTTTCGATATTCGACGGGTCCGTAGTTTTACGACCGTTCGAAATGTGCTTGCTGGGCAAGGGCTTCCGAAGTTTCGTAGGGAAGCGATACAACTGCCTTAATAGGCTTAGCCCGAGATTAGGGCACGATTAGCCAACGGCTCGCCTGTCGAATGCTCGAGTCAGTCAGATTACAACTAGCTGCGACCGTCGTGTGGCAAATAGCGGCTATCTATGAAGCTCTCCGGACTAGGAACCTTAACGACCTTATGGAATATGTATCGTCAATTTTTTCAGGGGAAAATATACCTTTTTTTTGTATTAAAACTAAAGTTTTAATTATCAAAGACAAAAAGTTTTTTTAAATCATATAAAAAATGAAATAAATCAAATATTACTTATACGAACAAATCAAATTTTAGATAAAGTTTTCTGCGACAATTTTTTGTGTGTATTATTTACGACCACCAGATACTAAAAAAAATGTTATTCACATAACAAGTTATGTTTACCTCTTCTTGTTCTCTAGCCAGTTTATCCTTTTTCTTCATTGCTTCCTGGACTTTTAACTGTAACAAAAGACATTACTGTAAAATAACGAATATCTTATTACCTATAAGAATATTAGTTTGCGTAGCAAATCGCAAATCAACGTTGACATTATTAGCCAACTTAGATGTGTTTTGATGTTTTCACTCAGTATCACAATCATTGAGCATCGACTCTATAATAGCTATTGATATGTATTTTAAAATAAAGAAATAAGTTACATTCAATATAACATAAGTATGACGTGTCACCAGCCTTATTAAGATCGTAGTCCCAAATTCATGATTTTATTATTTTATCGATGCCTTAATGGTTAAGCACATTAAGAAGTACCCAAAGAGTAGTTTATATGGTAAAATAATATTTTAATAAAATAAATCTAAAGGTGCAATTTTATAAATGTGACGTGAACATGCTATCATGCATATTTTGATGATTAACGTGCAATATGAAAATCGTGCGCAAACATCAGTATTTCAAATATTGACTAAATGTGATACAAAACAAACCGATGATATAGAATAATCTTTATAATTTTGCATACTTAAAAGAATACCATCTATAATCTATATAATTTGAACTATTATATTATCATAGTTTTTACGGTTTAATCGTTTTCTAATTTCTCTATAATGTCCTTTAAAAATAAATTTGATTAAAATGAACACCAATTGAATTCAGATCCACCTCCAATTCTTTGAGCATGCCTATTGAAATTAAAGCCAAAACTTGATTAAATAAAGAATTTTGAAAATCTGTTACGACTCCGTTGGCAAATCATGATATTACTCAATTATTTAAACTACTATACTTATATTTTTTTCATAATATAACTTGAAAGACAAGAGTTTATGAAGATAATTTACTGCATGAAACTATAAGTAAATAAAAAATTGGTGTGGTTTGACGAAACCACGATGCGAGTGAAACTTTTTAAGTGTTTTACATCGTCTCAAGATATAAAAGAGATAAATCGCGCCATGTACAATACTTAGTTGATGTTACTCAAAACTTAAATAATTTCCACGTTTTTAGTTTCTCTTTCCCGCCCACTATTTCAGGTTTTCACGCACATCACTCATTAAATAAAACAGTTTTTACGGGTTATATGCACTGAATTTATTTATTTATTGACGTTTCGCATCATTTTCAGGAATGCGTCGCAGAATAATGCTTTTCTATTTACTTTGTCGAGCTACCTTCGAAAGTCTTTCGAGGGTAGCTCGACCATGGCCGCTCGCGTGACATGCGAGTCTTCGAAAATTAAAACACAGATGCTTGATGATAAGGTCTGAATTTTTAATAACAATTAAAAATATAATGCGACGTGTTTATATTTTGTGGCGATGTAATAAAAGTTTCACTTTAAAATATTAATAAGCTTATATTATTGTATCATACTACAAGTACTATATAATCGTATGTCTTCCCCTACATTTGATTGGCAAGCTAATACTAAATTGAAATTAGTAATTTTTGCGAATTCCGATTTGAATTGCTTAGCTTATACCCTAATAATTATCGGGTAGACTAGACGTCTAATTGAAACAAAAACCTAGTTCAATTTGCCAGCCAGAGCGTAACAGGTATCGGTTGAACCTGCTGCATGTTTGACAGAAATTTATAAGGGAACCACGGAGTTCCAAAACTCTTAATTTACATGTTGTTATATTAAAATCAATTATGAATTGCGTCAATATTAACATAGTGTGAAGAGCATGTGTTTGTAACATATCTTATAGCGTATTGATAATTCATGTTAACAAGAGTTCAAAACTATGATCTGTCAAACACGTTTACCAGGTAACCGAAGGCGCTCACCCTATGTATAGTCTCTTCGAAGGTGTTTGGTTGGGCGGCAGTCATTTGTAAGAAGCGGAGGCGGTCATAGTCCCTGGGATCAACCATGGATCTCAGGGCAGTGTCCGGGCCAGGCCCTAGACCCAGACCACTTTGGAGAACGCTGTCCGGTGTGTCCACCTGAACGGAAAGTTTATGGATATAACTTTAACATACAGCTGCCAGATAGAGTATTGTCATCGTCAGTTTTGATGTTGCCCTTGGTGTTTTCTACTAAATCCAATACCGATCTCCTGGTAGGCAACTTTTTATTAACTTCCTTAAAACATAATTAAAAATATTCATATTTTATCGACACTGATTGAGTAAACTTAAAAACTGTGAACTGTGGAAGAGAGGATCAGGGTGCGATAAATTTCCAAGTTCTTAGTAAAATAAGCCGAATTTTCAAACGAAGTAATGGCTCAATTTATCTCAATTCGCCTTCGTAACAATATTTCTTTTTATTCTTTCTCGGAAAAATTTTGTCGATTTATCATACTATCGACTAGTCAGTCTTTATGAAGATGGGTCTTGAATACACACAGCGATATTTCTTTAAAAGCGAAAACTTTTTCTCGTTTCATTCCAGTTTCCGTCATGGCTTGGCGGTGTAATAAATTAACATCACACTATGTGAAGAACATTAACTTGGAAAACTAGGTAGCTAATTGCAAAACTACAAAATTGTTTTCGAATTTATTAATTTAATAAAAACTTAATGAAGTTAATTAACTAATACAAAGTACACCATAATCTCATTCTTTTTCTGTTTTTTCTTTCAAATAATCCTAATCCATGAATTATACATTTTTATCCTTTCCTGGTTATCTTCAACTTTGTGTGATTTTGTGAAAGTTTATCGCGCGATACAAAGTTCAGTGCTGTATTTCTTTAAGCCCAGCTAGAAATGAATAAGCATTAATCTGACTTTTGTATTTATTAGTCCATTCGTAAAATTAATTTGTACAGAACATTATCATTATTGTCTTCGTATTTGCAGGCAGTAGAATCCGTACATATAATGGCAGAACAAATCAAAACACAGAACTGTTAACAGAGTAAACAACAACAAAGAGAGTCAGCTGATGTTAATTGCCTTACCTACTTCACTGACTTTTAAACTAGCTACACTCAAGCTGAATAGACAAAAACCTTACCATTTATCATTTTCACTTAAGGTCGGAAAAAGCTAAGGATATCTGCATCACAATGAGGCTATGTACGTACGAATCAATTAATCATAAGAGGCACAAAGCTCGCCCATTAACTTCCCACTTGATAAGGGAATAATGCGAATAGCCGACAATAGCCGTTTCTATAATATGACAACCCTACAGGGCTAAACTGGCACCGTACGAAATTTATTGGCCCCCTATCAAATTCACACACATTTTCTTTCTGACGGCAATATCTGAAAGCGCACGTTTTGATGGCATTCTTAATTTAATGGCTCTAAAACCGGTGCCAATAGAAGGACAATTTCATAATTCAAATTTTATTTCCTTTGCAATATCTGCTCTACCTTCTAAAATCGATTGATATTCATAAAACAACATTTGAAAGTAACTTGTATTGATATTTCACTATAATGCCTTAATCACATGTATCGAGCAAACGAGCAAGACAGTGCTCTCGGCCGAGTACTCGGTACGTAAAAACATAGCGCTGAGTGCTCGACCGAGTGCTCTTACATGAGTTTTTAACTTCCATCACTATCCCGGCCGAGAAACAATTTACTGTCTCGCCCGTTTATTCGGTACGTGTGATCAAGGCATAAGGGTTTGATCTAGGTGTTAATCGGCCATTGAATCAGCAAGCTCATATCTTTTTTATTACTTTTGTATGTCGTACAAATTTGAGCCATCATGTTAGCCTATTGGGGCTGAAACGTATCAGTAAAGTTGTGCAAGATATTATTAGATTTCTAGGTTTGGGTTGATAAATGTTAGTGAGTCAAAAATTCAACAAGTCATTTTACTCCTTAAATGTTGGTTTTGGTAAAAATTTAGATTACCTAGTTGCCTTATTTAATAGTCCACTTCGAAAGTTTCTTCATAAATAATTGATACGCTACGATATTAATTATATATTTTGGTTCGAAAATACCTGGATGGACCTGAAGATAGGTCAATAAATACTTCGAATGGATAAAAAATACTGCAATACTTTTCGTATTTTTAAACTGTTACTGTTAAAATTAGTACTTATTCCTCAGCTGTACGTGCCTACAGTATATTTTCAAATATGACAACTAGCCCGATACGTGAAAATAACAAAAAATATCTACTAACTTGCCGGTTTCGAATTAATTTGTAATACGCATGTTGCATGTAAAAAATTTAATTGACACAAACGAAATTATACTGCAAACATCAGTATATGATGCAGCAAATGTAGTCAAATATGTAACAATTTATATCTATGTAGTGATAATTTGTTGGTATTTCAAGCACACTGTACGGATTGAAAGGTGTAAGTTGATCTCATAGTTTCTTAATTAGGTTTGATAGTCACATAGGTCGATACATTGGATATGTTAAGATATTATAAGATCAAACCATTTCAACTTATTGACATTGAGCAATCGAAATGTTCATATTCAAATATGATTAACTAAGTAAGTATCTACTGAAATAAATTATATAAAATCAGTACATACAAAATAAAATAATTAATAACTAACAAAGTTACAGATTACTTTTAGCAGATGAACTTGTTTAATTTTCCATCAATATGCTTCAAATGAAATGCCTGAAACGATATTTGATCTTATCAATATTAACTACATTCAGCTTAATAAAAAAAACATAAGTAACGAGGACTTACGAAAAATTCTGAAATAACAACCAATCATATTACGAAACGATACTTAAAAATAAAAGACAATAACAACTTATAATATCTAGAAGGAGAAAAAGATACAAATGTAACAAAACGATAAAATTTCGCTGTGCAAACACAACAAACTTTCTTGGAACACACAAGGAAAGTAATTTGTGTCAAAAACATTGCTATGAAAATATTACCACTGTAAACATGATAAATGCGCTTCGGGGAATAACTTTTGTAGTTGCAAACTTTAATATCGTGAACATTTTGTAAAACTACATTTTGTAATTTGTAATATTACGAATTTATTCAAACATTGTGTAAACCTAGGTATTAATGACCGTTTCAAATTTTAAAATAACTAAGCAACTATTAAGCTACTATGAAATTAACTTGCGATAGAAAACAGTGACGATATATACTTTTATAAGGTATTGGAAAACAATATAAAAACTTCTATTACAATTAACTAAAGAAAAACTATAATACACATACATACGCGTTTTACTATCGATTAAATAAGTAATTCGAATCCAAAATTTATACTCTCAGAAACAAGCTCTTTATTGATACAATATGTTGTATATTTACGACATTCCAAATAGCAAATGCTACCATAGCGTACAACTATAAGGTTTTATTGCCTTTATCGAGAGGTTGCTAAGCTATAACTGAGGAATAGCAGTGGTACTATTATGCCTCCCGCAAGAACCCGTTTAGAGGCGGCAACGTGCCAATATGGAGTATAAGTCAAATATTACCCTTTTCACATTTTCACTCGGTTAGAGTTACAGCTACTTTTTATGTTAGCGGTTTTAGAATTTTATGCTTCCCAGTTTAATAGACTACTAGAACTCTATTGAGTTTTATGCCATCATTCAATTTTATACAAGTAGAAGGAACATAAAATATTTACGAACACTTTGAAAACATCACCATTCGTCGTTAATCATAGTTGTTAATATTTTGTAATTACTAGACCCGCGTCTATTTTAAAAGAAACAAGTTTAGAAACTACTTTCATTGTTACTTGTCAATAACTTGAGTTCCGAAAATACCTGTTGTAAAAATACTTGCATTGTTCGCGCTGTCACTTCTTACCGTTATACAAAACAAACTTACAAGCGGCCCCCACTGATCCTCTAATCGCAAACAGACACAACACCAATACTCGAAAAAAGTAACTTCCAACTGCTAATCCTAAGTGCAAGTTCCCCGATAAGGATTATGCCGAGGCCCTAATGGTCTTTATCCGCGGCTCAACAAGCGGCCATAACTCAACCTCCGTCGCTTGGCTCAACCGACTTAACTTTGGCAGGCGTCATTTCTCAAAAGGCATGCGGTGACGTACACCCCCCACCCCTCGTCTAGAGATTAATAAATATAGGTGGACGTGGAAAAATGTAGCACTTAATTCGGCCAAGATGAACAAAGTATAATACGGACGCCCACCAACTTAGCATTGCTCGTTCTTAGTTCGTATAATATTTTTCCAGAGTCAACATAATTTACTATTTTTTAGGGTTCCGTGCCTATTCCCTCGGTTGTCTGTCTGTCACAGTCGTTTTGCTCAGAATCTACTAGACCGATCAAATTGAAATTTGGTAATTAGATGTATGTATGTATATGAACCAAACACGGACGACTAAAGTAAATATATGAATTGCGAGGAGGATTCCGGGTTACTTTTGGGGGTGAATTAGAAAATTAAAAATTATGATAAGGCTAACTGTACCGTGTTATATATTATATGAAAGGTCTCAATATGAAGGTATCAACAATTATTTTTTACTATAAAATGATTTTTTTTGTTCTTGATCAGACTATAAATTGTCAGATGATAGCAAATTTTTAAAATAAACGACTGATATTAAATTTCATCTGAACACAGTAATTTCATAGCCCATAATATTCTTTTCCATTTAAAATGCTTCTATAAGTGTAAGTATCAAACAGATAAAAAAGACAGTAAACTTATTGGTAACTAATTGCTTAAAGAATATATAATGATCCTGCATAATTTATGTGTATTTTAAGGGTTCCGTATCCGGAGCTCTTGCTCGTAAAAGGAATCACTTACATAAAATAATAAAAATAATAATTACTAGATTTTTAGTCTTACCAACAATATGGTACATTACATTAATCATCGCTTTATTTGGAAAATTAACAAAGGTAGTAGTACTAAATATGTCCATACACTGATTAACACCAGACGTAGGTTCAAGTTTTCATAACACGCACAGCCGGGCACGCCTACCAGACTTTCTAGACGCGTCGTAGTAATTGTGCCGAGTGCGTGCAAAGACGACCGGCGACGCTCCGGATCAACATAATGGCGGATGGGGGTAGCAAGAGAGAATGTATGAAAAAAAAGAGGAAGGCAAACGCCGCTGGCGTATGCAGACGTAAGATTCGGTTACAAATTGTTTTGCTTAACGAGACGAGGCGGCGAAAGGAATAGTTTTCGGCGAAAGAAGTTTGGATGGCGATATTTTGCACACGTTCTGTTATTCGGATAGCTTTTAATGTTAATTGTAGGCAGACGGATACCGATTTTCGAATCCTTTAAAGATAAATAAAGTATTATTCTTACTTCAAAAATAAGTAAAGTATTATTTTTAAGATGATGAACATTTCAATTAAACTTCGTGCCCCGAAATTAGAGAACAGTAAAATTGTATTATTACGAAACCACTCGCTAAACTTACACTCGTGGTTACGAAAAGTAAACGTTGAATCCAGGCTACTGCATACTGCCACAAAATGATAACTTTATGATAAAACTTTCTAAAGTATATAAATTAATAATTTCGGTAACTCCAAATAGTTGTCTTTGCAACAAAATGTATTACTGTTTGTATCATAAATACATTTCTTGGGACAAAGATGTCAATGTCAATTGAATACAAAGTATCTATCTCTAAACACTAACGCCCTTCTTGGTCATCCCAAAGTTATCAGTGACAAAGCAGAAGAAATTAGTTATGGTGCCCTATGTCTCATCCCATTTATATTGTCCTTATTTGATCTGTGATTTGATCCAATTATAAAATACTGCACAATAAAAACTTTGGTCGTAAGATTATCAAGAGAGTTAATTTCAATTTTGGGTACTAAACTGCTAAATTTTTCTATCTTTAGATATTATTCATACTTGCTAGTTTTTGATATAAATAAAAAGGATAATTATTTTGTATTAATATTTTTAGTTCAGGAATTTTGAATTTGGGAATAGTATGTTTCAGAAAGTAATTTACATTTACTCATATAGCTTTGAAAACAAAGTGATTTATTTGAATCAGGATAAGTTACCAGGTACCAATAATGTGGCCTAGTTTGTACCGGCGTTCCTATTGCATATTTTTACATGCAAATGTAGTTATTGTGACATCACTGTAATAGTTTGGAATATGGTATTACGGACTTTTTTATAGATGTTGATATCCTGTATGAAACTACCGTACATCTTGTGCTCCTCTGTTGTCGATAATTGCCGCATCGTACGCGACGTAAAGTTTTTTCACACACAGGGTTACACTATGGAAGGTTTTTGTTATAATATATAATTATAAATAAGACGACTGTTTGGCTCAGCAATTTTATAATATCGACGTATTGACAAGTATAGACTAAGGACGACAGACATAGACTAACTACTTATATAACAGTATTGTACAGATCCCTAACTTTTTTGAAAATTTATTGCTTTTATTTATCGCCTATGTTCATCAGAAATAATTTAGGATTCTAAATGTGTTTTTTTTTCTCAAATCGTTTCCGTAGTTTCAGAGCATATACTATACAAACAAATAAATCTTCCCTTTTATGATATTAGTATCCGCTTAAACATAAACTGAAGTAATTGATTAGAAGTAAACTAAAAACTAGAGGTAATTGGAGTTATTAACTTTGTGGAGTAAAATAGTTTCAAACGGAAATCTTTAAAATATATTATTAAATAAACACTTCTCTTGTTTCTTTGTAATATGAAATAATTTAATTAAAATTGTAAATGAAGTCGCATAAAGATGTTCCCATCGATTATTCTGTTTCCGGTAAATCTAATTTTGTCCTAAAAGTATATTGATGTTGTATTAACATCGACACTTTGAGTTCTAACCTTTTAATATTGTCGGTGCACTGAAATTACATAACATTTATATAAGTGCCAAAAATCAAAACCTCCAATTCTTCAACAGACAAACAACCCACACTCACTTGCATCGTGCTTAGGTTAGACAAAAAAATAACATTTCCACTAGCATAATCTCTAAAACAGTCAAATATTTTTGTACCAAACGTACGTCTACTCAATAAAAATAAAACAATTATACCCGATTCTAAAAGGCTGATCAGCGAAAAATCAACTAACACGCAGCTCATTAATTATACATTAGTCAAATCTAATGATATCCGTGAATAGACCTATTCAACTTATCACTCTGTCAGTTGTCTGAGTTTTAAATATACTCGTAGAACAAGATAAACATAATTATGCCATTTATCCCGGAATAACAACATCAAAATTTTCGAAAAATAAGACTAATTTAAGTCATGTGCGCAACAATTTCAAAATAAGCAAAGATTAGCTATTTATTTTCGTTACAGAAACTCAAATTAAATTAACACTGCTATAAATTGACAAGCATGTTAGTTGATTATTGATTTGAAAAGCCGTTCAGATACCGTGTGTTAATAATTGTAGAAAATTTGAACGAAGTCTTACCCTTTGTGGTGGTAGGACTTGTCTCGGACTGTGCGTGTGCTTAGGCGAACAGGATCCATGTTTCTCTTTTCTATGGGATTTCAAACCTCTCAGCAGTCTCGAGAAAGTGGTCACCTTCTTTTTCGCTGTACCAAGGCAATTATCTGTGGGCAAAACTTTAACTTATTTATTTTAATTTTCAAGACTAGTGAATCAATACTTTGTTGTAGAGTGTATATTAATTTCAATTATTCTAGTCTCTAATATTAAGACAAACGCAAGACCAGATAATGTAACCTGAATTGTGTATTTTTTCTTACGAAATTCATATTATGATAAATCACCTTCTTAATTGATGCCTAACTTTATTCGTATATTACTAGGAAAAATTAAAGAAAGAGGAAGCTCAAATGAATGGGCACTTAATGAAGACGTCAATAATTCTTTGATTAAAATGTATTCATCACAATTAAGATAATAATCTCTAAATTTATTATAAAGATATAATACACGATCATATTCAAATATTCCTTTTGCCGTTGAATCAGTACCATAGCTAGCTAACGAGTAGCTAAATAATGCATGAGGGAATTATTTATGAGATGAGGTAGGAATCACTAGTAAGCTGCTATAGAACAGGAGGCCTACTCTAATTCAACGAAAAAAGGAAATTTCAATTCAAACTTCGTACGTTTAGTACTATGTTTCTAATTCGTTTTTTAATTATAAAATACTCGTTCACCCGAAAATATATTGAGGTATAAACTCTGTAAACCTACTAAACGAAGAATTGAATTTGATAGTTCTTTCAAATTAAGTATAACCTCATATTGACGAAAAGAAATTTCGTTTGAACTTCGTTAACTAAAGTTCGTTTCGGAAACCAAAAACAGTAGACCCCTTAGTATATTACAACTACGTAAAAAGTAACGTAAAGAGAAAAACTACTACGTTAACATAATACTATTATTGATACTTACCACTAGGGGGAAATTCGTAGAAATATGCCGATCGCGGACTCAAACAACTGAAACAATAAAATAAGAGGTTCTTAGTTTGACGACTCATTGAATGCTGAGATAAGAGTGTTAAATATGCATGAAGTCAATAGAAATACGCTAGCTTAAATATCACATAACAGTAATATAGTAACGACTTTTATCGGAGTTTGGAACTAGCTTCTCTTCAAAGACAATTCTAACAGGTGGTTTGTACATCAACTAAATTAAATAGGCTTAAAAGAGTTTCTGAAAGTATTCTTTCAATTAATTATAGTAGAAGTAACTACTTCTACTCTTCTGTCATATATTTATTAATGAAATGTCTCCATTAAATTTTACGTGTTTTGACAGTTACATAAAAAATATTAAATTAACGAGTTTTATAACTCGTAACTTACGAATTTCCCGCCTGAATTAGAGCGCCCGATTGGAGAAGTAACCCCTTTAACCTTTCCACTGATTATAGTGAGATAACACTACTGGTGGTTTTGTTGTTAGTAGGTATTTTTGATGAGGTTTCCAGGGGCTTCGTGGGGGTATGTATGAGACAGGGGTTAGTAAAGGACGGGAAGCAACGGCGCGGGTGAAACAGAGGTATAGCAAGCGTCTAAGGCTTCATATATACAAGCGGCTTGAAGCCGACGGCATTGCAACTGCAGTCCTCAACCTCTGACGTCAACGTGGTGCCCAGCGGCCGCCACCGACGAGCCGTTAGCCGTAAGCCCGTCGATGGCGGCAGTTGACTGCTCGTCGGCAGCGGTAGCTGTCATGTTGACGTCAGAGGTCGACGGCTATCGCTCAAAGAGTGACTACAGCTGTAGTTTCGATGCCGACAACTGCGAGCCGCTTTTATATATGAATACTATGACGGCTGCTGATATGCTATGTGGGCAAAATACTTGTTTGCCACCCCTTTAAAAAAATGAAACTGGTTACTGTAGCCGAATATTTAAACAACAGTACCTAAGTAACGGATCAAGACTACTGTTTTGGCATATCTACAATGCGTTATAGATTGCCATCCTAGAATTTCACGGTAAAGATGTTGTATTAACCTAACCCCAAAATCACGCTTACGCATGCGCGTTCTTATCAAATTAACAATTTATACCAAATACGGTCCGCGCAAACATCCTCTCCGCATTACCAGAGAGAGAAAAAAAAAAGATTTTCGTGGCATTGTATAAATATTTCATCGGTGCGAGCTATGCGGAAAAACCTTCCGCAAAATCGGTATTCGGTACCTAAATGAGATATTAATCGACATTGGCATTAACAATACCTTCACTAATGATGATTGTGAATGGAATGAGTGCCGTTTAATGGGGGATAAATTAGTAAAGGGTTCATTTTGATGCCTGCTACTAAGTTTAACAAGACCCAATCAACGGTTTTAATTTCGCGATAATAATTCATTCGTTAGTTACCTGCGTCCGTTGTAATGGACCCGCGATTGAAAAGGTAATAGGTATAGCGTTGTGTAACTCGTGTAGTTTTCATAAAAATATAAAGTGAATTTCGTTTTATCGTATTATGTTACACTTTTAACGAATACTTGTCTAAAGGTGTCCCAAAAGTAAAGAGACTTTTCTCAAAATCAAACTAGCTACGGAAAAGGTTCTCAGAGATATATAAATGGTTGTCATAGTAACTATAGATAACATACATGTCAAAAAAGGCGGATTATCAAATCCTTTTTTTTAATGAAGCGAGCCGTACAAGAATCCTTTTCAAAGAGAGTTATTCAATACTATTTGTGTCATGGGAAATCTGAGACAGTACGTCATTTTATTTTAGAGGAAACAAGAAGAACTAGTCTATACAGAATAATAAAACGTGAAAAAGATACGGAGGAGACTGATTTTAAAAATATTCCAAAAAGACTACGTACTGTTTCTACATCTAGAAATATAAACCAAGTAAAAAAGATTTTTGAACAGGCATCTTCAACGTCGGCGACAGTTACGGCGGATAAATTAAAAAAATCGAAATCCAGTCTATCGTAATGATACAGACTTGAAAGCTTTTGTAAAAGTGGCTCCCCCAAATATGTCAAAGACCAGGAGGTAAGTGCCAAGCGAAGGTGCCCTAAAATTTATGAAAAAACTATGTTTTTTTTTGACGTGACAACGTCTTAAATTAGGTTGCGGCTGGGAGTCACTTATGAAAAAGTGTAACGCTCGGTAACGTTACGATGAGTCTCTCGTGTTAAGTTTAAGTTTACATGTACAATGTTTTAGTAAACAAAATATATTTCTATAGTTAAAATTTGTGCAATTCTTATTTTCATTCAATTCCTTGTTCCTATTGTGCAATTTAATTATATTCATATCAATAAATATTCTACCGAGAAAAAGACGTTGTCACGTAAAATCTTCGCCCGTAAAACCGACTTTACAGGCAACCATATTTTTTATTGATAATGAGACATACGTAACCTAACATAGATGCACCACAAACATTGACATCTTTCAAACACCAATGGACTATAAATAGATTAGCTCAAAGAGTAGCAGCATAGATAAATAATTGGTCCTCCTTGCGGTCGACTGAAGGAAGACCAATCATTCATCTAAAAGTAGAAGCTACATCTTGAAAAACGAACATGTAGCGTACTGCTATTAATACGAGATAAATTGGGTGCAAAGCTGTCGCTGGACCAAACTTGTATTAGCCATTAAAATAAATTTGTTTTACATTCATTTGCATACCTGATTCATATGATATCGGATTATTTTTAATTAAATACGTATTGCTAATATTATTTTGACTTTTTACTTTTGGGACACCTCAGTATTCGTCAATTCTTAGTTCGAATGAGTTTATGCATTTAGGTAAAAATATTAAACTATTGAGTTTATCCAATGACTAGCGTTTGCCAACGACTTCGTCCGCGTGGACTTAGTGATTCTGGTAGCAAATTTTCACCAAATTCGCTTTTTCATCACTCTGCTTACTATTTAAAAAATATAAAGTTAGTGGTTTTATATTTGGAAAAATAAACTACGTGTTAAATTTAGGGTAATTATAAATTAAAAAAGCTGGACATTCCCTGCGTTATACAATGAGTGCAATTAAAGATCCAGTTATTTTGTAAAAATATATATAAATCCTGACGTGGCTCAGATCGGTTTCAGACCAGAACATTTATGCTATATTTGCTAACATATTTTATTTATTTAACAGAGTGATAGAATTCGACGTTTATATGCACGTTAAATGTTCTCAAAGGAACTGGATTATAAAGAACTACCCAGCGATTGTCAATCTCTACTCCTTAATATCAAAAGTAAAGCCACGTATGTCTGGAGAACGCCTTCTATATTGCGGGTAGCCGTCGTCCCGTCGCCGGTTTGTGTTTCACTAAGTAGAGGCCTGAGATACCTCTTAGAGCAATTTTTGTTTTTCATACAACGTGACATATTATTAAAACTTCCGCATGGCCCATGTATCATAGTAGACTTTAGTATTTCGAACTGCGCATTAAAATTCATCCATATAAAACTTCGACACCCTCAATCCCCTTTTTAGGGGGTAGTAGGTTTTGTAGGCAGGTAGGTTTAGGACAAGCAAAAATGATAAAAGTTATATAGTATTTAATAAGATAAGTATTTGTGCCAAGTTTTAATTCTAATACTTCAAAGAATAAGACTTTTCATACAAACTCTAACCCCCTTTTTTACCCTCTTAGGGGTAGATTGACGTAAAACCCAGATATACGTTATTCTTTATTTCTGGTTTTAGTAAAAATACCAAGTTTCGAGTTAATCAAAAAGCGCGTTAAAATTAATCTATATAAAAACTTCGACACTCTCCCAATCCCCTTTTAGGGGGTAGTTTAGAAAAACTAAAAATAACAAACTTTATAATTTATTTAGATAAGTGTTCGTGCCAAGTTTCAAGTCTATTAACCCAACGAATAAGATTTTTCATACAAACTTTCATCCTCTATTTCAACCCCTTCGGGGTGAATTTTTAAAAATCCTTTCTTACTGCACCTCTAGACTTCATAAGAAACATACGTGCCAAATTTGGAGTATCTAGACCACGGATCTAGACTTAGCGGTTTGGGCTGTGCGTTGATATGTCAGTCAGTCACTCAGTTTGTTCTTTTATATATTTAGATAAGATTAAATTTGTTTGAACGCACCGAATTATTATTATTATAAAAAGTTTGTGATGTAGATGCATTGAAGTCCTAAACTGACATTGTATGTACGTCATCATCATCATCATCATCAGCCTATTAATGTCCCCACTGCTGGGGCACAGGCCTTTCCTATGGATGGAATAGGGAGATTGGGCCATGACAAACCACGCGGGCCCAGTGCGGATTGGTGGGTGCTAACGACTGCAAATGCAGCCGGGACCAACGGCTTAACGTGCCTTCCGAAGCACGGAGGAGCTCGAGATAGTAAATTTTTGGTCACCCATCCAATGACCGACCACTGCGAAAGTTGCTTAACTTCAACGATCGCAGCTGAACGCGCTAGCCACCTGCGCCATCGAGCTCCTTTGTATGTACGTACTTTTAAAATATGAAAACTTTCTTGAGTTTGAGAGAGTTTACCTGGGCGATCGAGCTTTATCCGTTATTTTATGTGTAAATTAATATTTTACAAGTCATGAAACATTATAGTTTCATTACTTGTATTTTTTTCGGTCTTTATAGACTGACTTCAAAATAAAAATTCAAATAATATTTTTAGTGGCGATCCAAAAATTCCAGCGAAAACACATATTTTGACAAATTTATCTAAACGTGAATATTAAAACATTGATGACAGTATTTAAAGCTGCAAATATTCTGCTGAACAGCTCGGAAAGCTATAAATCAATTGACATTGGGCTTGTTTCATATCAGCATCGTGCAACGCGGCAGTGCCAATGAATATTCATATCTGAGCCAGTTAAGTTTAATGCTAACACACGTTGAATTATGTTTTGTCCAAAGGTAATTAGGTCAAGAGCCTAATTTTAAAATGTACCATTCACATTTATTCCTTATATTTTCACACACACCACT